GTCTGGCAATTTTTTTTAGATTTATTTATTAATTATGTATACAGCATTATACTTGCATGTATCCCTGCAGGCCAGAAGAGGGCACCAGATCTTATTACAGATGGTTGTAAGCCATCATGTTGTTGCTGGGAATTGAACTCAGAATCTCTGGAAGAACAATCAGTACTCTTAACCTCTGAGCCATCTCTCCAGCTCCAAAGCCTGGCAAAAAAATTTTTTAAAATATTTATTTATTATGTATACAACATTCTGTGTGTATGCCTGCAGGCCAGAAGAGGGCACCAGACCCCGGTACAGATGGTTGTGAGCCACCATGTGGTTGCTGGGAATTGAACTCAGGACCTTTGGAAGAGCAGACAATACTCTTAACCTCTGAGCCATTTCTCCAGCCCAAGCCTGGCAAATTTGATATACACTGAGTGACTGAGTTGTAATAGTATGGATAAAAAACTGATTTATTAGCAATGGACACTCACCCAGTCCCAGTTATTGTCATCTCAAATATTTGTTATATTTTGTTAGCAGATACTTTCTCAGCCCCTCCAGTGTGGTGGAGGACCCACAGGGTGTCCTGTTAAGGAAACACAGGGGCTGAACTGCTAACCAGGGTGAGGGACCAGTTTAGCACCAGCCTTTGGTTTTGTTAAGTTTGAGGTGTGAACTGGGGGTAGAAACAGAACTTCTCAGAATAGCAGGATGGAGTTTGTGACTCCTGGAAAAGAGAGAGAGGCTCAGCAGGCACAGAAAGAGGCAGGTGAGGGCAGAGACACACTGCATGTCTGAATTCAGGGCCGTCCTGAGTGTCCTGAATGAGGTTTGGCATATGCGCTCTCTTCCCGGCATGCTGTGGATGGTGTCTGCACTGGACTGAGGCCTCTTCCCTGTGGACTGTAGGCTGATAGTACAGAGGGCAGAGTGGACAGGACAGTCCATTCTGCTAAAAATGAGGCAACCAGACCTCTGAGCAAAGACGGAATCAGTACAATCAAAGGCCACAGGGTTCTGGAGAGAGTTATCCATCAATGACTGTTGCCAGGACTGTAGGCAACCCGTGTGACAGAGGAGTTCTGTTTCTGACTATACAGAAAGCGTGTGTTGTGCCAGGAGTAGAAGCTTCCATGCAGACAAAAACACAAAGCAAATGAGGACCTGTGGAGACACGGCTTTGGTCTGCATCTCACTACATCGTATCGGGTTTAAGCCGTGATATGAAAATGGGTTTTGCATGAAGATGAGGTGATGATCTTACTGTGTTGTTTCCTGAACACGATCCCGTGAAGATCCATGAGAAATCTAAGGTTATCTCAAGGTAAACTTCATAGTTTGAAGAATCTCACAGTAGCCCATAACTCATGCTGCCAAGGGCCACTGACTCAGCAAATGACACGCTCAGTGATTGGAAATAGTCTTTAAAACTTTGAAACACTTTTTTTTTTTTGGTTTTTCGAGACAGGGTTTCTCTGTGGTTTTGGAGCCTGTCCTGGAACTAGCTCTTATAGACCAGGCTGGTCTCGAACTCACAGAGATCCGCCAGCCTCTGCCTCCCGAGTGCTGGGATTAAAGGCGTGCGCCACCACCGCCCGGCCTTGAAACACTTTTTATTCTTATTTTCATTTGACAATCTCATACAAGTATATAGCACATTAGAGGGGTTTTATTGCCCCCCCTTTGTCCTCTCTTTCCTCTTTCTTTCCTACTGACGCCCTCTTTCCTAACAAGTCTGTCTACTTTCACCTTTTTTTGAATATTTATTTTGTTTTTTTATGTATATGAGTGTTTTGCTGCATGTACATCTTTTTTTAAAATATTTATTTATTTATTATGTATGTATTCAATATTCTTTCTGTTGGTATGCCTGAAGGCCAGAAGAGGGCAGCAGACCTCATTACAGATGGTTGTGAGCCACCATGTGGGTTGCTGGGAATTGAACTCAGGACCTTTGGAAGAGCAGGCAATGCTCTTAACCGCTGAGCCATCTCTCCAGCCCCCCTGCATGTACATCTTGATCTACATGTATGGAGTGCCTATGGAAGCCAGAAGAGGGTGTTGATTCCCTGGAATTGGAGACATAGAGGGCTGTTGGATCCCATGTGGGGGCTGGGAATACGACCTGGGTCCTCCGGAAGAGCAGACTGTGCTCTTAACTATGGAGCCATCTCTCCAGCTCCCTTTCATACCTTTCCTTTGTGTGTGAGCCACTTGGTTGAATCAGAGTTATCGGCATGAGCACACATGGGAAGTTACTCACTGGAGCTACCCGCTCAAGAAAACAAGACTCTAAGTGGCCATGAATTTCCAATAGTCCTCAAGGGAAGGCTGGGGCCTCATAGGGCCTTTTCTATCCTTGATTAATGCTGCTTGGCCAAAAATCCTGCAAGTCTTGTGTAGATAACCACGGCTACAGCGAGTCCATGAGTACGGATATGTCATAGCCAAAAATGTCTATTGTCATACATCCCCTTATCCTTTGGCTCTTCCGTTATTTTTGTCCCTTCTGTGATGTTCCTTAAACCCAGCAGGAATTGATAGACATGTTCTATCTGGGGATAAGTCCTCCACCTTGGTTCACTTTCTACCCTCTGGCCAGTTAGGATTCTATGTTTCAATTGCTGCCCACGGCAGTTAAGAAACTTCTTTGGTCAAGAGGGAGTGTAGCGCTAATCTGTAGATATAAGCATATTTAGGAGGTAGTTTGATGACACAACCATTTAACAAAAAAGCAGTAGGGTTTCCCTACTAGGGCCCATGACCTCCCTGACTGCAGGCTCTTGACAAGCGTTATAGTACCTGGAACATGTTCTATCCTGTAAAGCATACTCCATCCAATCAGAAGGCAGTGGTTGCCCTTATCACAGCCATGCTGCTCTTGCCCTGCAGATCCTTCCTGTAGTTTACAAGCTAAACACCTGGGTAAGACTCTTGATGGCTTTTCTCCCCCAGCAGCCTGCCTGGCACCTCCTAGTTCCATGAAGGCTAACTGGCAGGGAGGAAGCTTCCAAGTCAGTTCTAACTAGATTTCTACACGTCATCACGGCATCTTAGCAACAGGGTGTTACCATCAAGTTCTGACAGACAGCCAGGAACAATGGTAAAGGCCTGTGATGCGGTGAAGGTCTCTGAGGCTCTCAGATCTTGGTCGCATATTGCTGCTGGTTTACTACCCTTGGTTTTGCCCTCAGACAAGAACTTGGTCAACCTACAGACAAGAAAAAGTTGTTCTGAAACTCAGATCTGAAGATCAAGACGAACTTTAATGGTGTATTCCTCATGGCCTTGCCAAAGTGCTGCTAGCTCTTCCTTTCCGGTCATCTTCTAAGGGACAGTGTTAGCTGTGGTCTCCTACTCACAGGTTACCTGAGAACTAGGCCCTTACAGAAGTGTTTTTCATGGGTCTACCATGTTTTTTTTAGATACCACGGTTAAAATCAAGAAAACAGACAAACTGTTATGAGGAGCGTCTTGCTCCCTAGAAACCAAGAGATGGCATCGCAAGGCAGAAAAAGGCCTCCTGAGCTGCCGAGCCTGTGTGAGGCAGGACACACGTGCCTGCCATCTTGAGCCTTATGCTCTGCCCAGCCGCGTCATATACCTTCCAGGCTTTATTGTTTTGCAGTGTCTCCTCAGCATGGCAACACTTAAGCGCATAGGTGTCTGCTTCTCTTCTGAGCAAGTCCAACCTCTCTGGGTGTGAAAGCCATGTCTGTTAGGGGAATAAGGCGCACAGCCAGGGCACGGGGACACCTGGATTCTTCACTCAACTGAGCCAACCGAACTTCCTCAGTGTTTCCTCACATTTAGGACCCTGATTGGCAACCAGAGGGGCTAGGTGTCTCTCATAGCCTAAAGGGAGAAAACTATTTTTACTGTGACCTTGTCCTGCTGTAGATAGAGGTCAGCCTTGTATAATTTTTCTAGGCAATCTTGACTGATCAAGCAGCAATCAAAGTGATGGAGAAGGAAAAATAATAAAAGTATTCATCATATAAAAAGGTCAGAGGGGCAAAGAGCAGAAGTCCTCCTGTAGGGGGAAGGAGTGGTCCAAGCCTTGGCTCTGTGGAATGACTGGGCAGTCTCTATCCATCACTTACTCTCTGGGATGGTAGGAGGAGAAGAGGGATAATTTTTATGTGATCAAATGGTAACTCTTCTGGCTTGGTGACAGACTACAATGACAGCAAACAATGCCACCAAGTGCTCCTGGGAACCTTATGTTCCCCAGGATGCAGAGGCAGCAGGGACACAGACAGGGGCCACCTTTAGAGAACAGGTGCAAAGGTGATACTTATGAACTGAGGACACATATGCTACTAAGAGGTCACCTTTCTGTCCTACCTGACAGAGAAGTGGATGGTTAAGAAGGCGCTTGGGTCATTGCTTCAGTGTCTACAAGGCACGTGTGTGTTGCCTGAGGTAGACTCCAGCTGCACTCGCTGCTCAGATGAGAAGTTTTACAATGTCCAGCGACACAGCCAAAGAGCTAAAGCCCACATCCTGCCTGACTCCAAGTTCCATGATTTAAGGACCATGTTTGTGCAATGTACTGAAGACCCTTAGGTTCTGTAATGAAGGTTCTTTGTAGTCTGGGGAACCAGCATTAGATTTGCTACTGACCTTTAAGTATACATTAAAGGGTTTGAGCATAAAGAAAAAGATACATACACAAACACACACACAATAGTTACTCGGACGTTTCTCCACAGAAAGGGCTGCTCCCAGCTTACATGAAGCATGCTTCCTCCTCACTTCCTAGGCCCCCACCCCCACTCCCACAGGACTTTGGTGGATGAAGAGGAAAAGTGTGCATGAGTTTTTCAGTGACTTCTTGAGGCAGAAAGACTACCAGCTCCTTGTTACAGGATAGTTTAAATGTGATCTTACCTTAAAACAGGGAAAATACTCAGGTTGGGGATTCTTAGAGACTTCCTAATTGTTCTACAAGATTCACTGGGTCCTTACTTCTTGGGTCATGTGTTCTGGATCTGGGTTAAAGTTCTCAGTTTGATTTATTTATATATTTGGTAAAGTTACAGTCACAAAGATTTTAGGGGAATTACATACAACCACTTGAACTCATGGTAACTGAGCAAAAGTATTAATAGCTAGAAAAGAAAGTCTAATTCAATATCCGGTCACTTCCGGTGTTACTCTGCATGGTTTGTTTTTGGTTATCAGTCCAAGAAACACAATAAATAGCTGTGCTGTGTCATCTAGCGAAGGCTGTGACCACAAAGCTCCAGGGTGCTGTGTCACGGCCCTCACTCACTGCTGTCCCTGGAGGCACACAGAAGCCACCGTGACCTCAGATGCTAGGCCACCACTCCAAGACCCGCACACATGCACAACTGTCCCCACCCCTTCCCAGGGAAAGCCCAGAAAGGCCCTCTCAGTGTTTCTGGCCGCTGGGCTTCTTAGGGTGTTTGGGCTCTGAATCTTCACCCTTTCCATTTCAGGTTGGGCATCCAGATGAGACCGTCTCCTTGCTGAGAGTCAGTTTCAGCTCCTGTGAGACAAAAAAAAAAAAAAAAAAAAAAACAAAAAAACCCTTAGGCAAGAACAGAAAAACCCGCCAATTCTCTAGAATGTGTGGGGGGTGGAGCATTTAATTAACAATCTCTTATTTAGAATGTACTAGATAGTCTTTTTTTGTTGTATCTGGCTTTTTGTTTGCTTGTTGCAACAAGGTCTCACATAGCCCAGGCTGCCCTTGAACTTCCTATGTAGTTGAGGTTAACCTTGAAGTCCAGATCCTGTGGCCCTCTACCTCTCACCATGCTGCCTCATGTCTTCTTTTTCATAATGACTTGACTGAAATCCAGTAATTCTATATCTAAAAGCCACCTTTTAAAGAGAATACTTTAGAGGCTTGGAGGTATTCATACATGTACAGCTATAATTACGGTACAAGTGGGAATGTTTTAATCACCAACTCTCCCCAAACCATATTCCGTAATGATTTTCCCCAATTCTCCCTTCCCGCTCCCAATAGCCACTAGTCTTTATGCCCTTAGGATTTGCCTATCCGGGCATTTCATACACGTGCCACTCTGCATCTGGCTCTTTCACCAGCGTCTTTAAGCTCCATCCATTGTGTAGCAATGCACAACCTCGGGTTTCTTTATGGAAAAAAAATATCCCACCGTGCAGATTTATCTCATTTGGTTTGCTCACTCGTCACTTTATGGACATTTGGCTATTGTTGAGAATGCTGCTCCAGACACAGGTATGTGTGGTTTCATGCGTACTTGTACTTCTGATTCTCTTCTCTCCTTGGGTGTAGAATTGCTGATTTTTAGAGGAACCAGCAAAGTGTTTGCAGAGCAAGCACATCGTCACCTCTCTGGCTCCCAGTCTCTCTCCACACACGCTGTCGTCTGCCAGCGTAGCCAGTGTGAAGGGTTTCTCACTGTGGTACTGACTTCTACTTCTCCAGCAACACTGGGTACCTTTTCATGCACATATTGGGCACTGGGTATCTTCCTCGGATGTATGTGCAGTCAGACGATAATTTCTGCAACTTCAATTTTGCTGTAGAGTCTTTTCTCACACCATGTCAGCAAAACTGACTGTTGGCTTCTAGGTGTCACCTGCACCCCAGTTTTGACTCATATGGTAGAAGCATGTGGTAAAGAAGGACAAGCTAAAACGTGTCATTTCTAGGGTCAGGAACCTTACCAAACACTGCTCACTGAATCCTGACATGGGTGCAGGAGCTGAGTGAGGCCCAGCTATCTTTACTGTGTGTGCTGGGAACTGAGTATTTGTCTGAAACCGTGGAACTGTCTAGAAGAACTTGGAGCTTGTCGATAGCTCCACCACTCAGGTGTAGTTCATTTTGTTTAGTTTCTCATTGTGATCGTGTGTGTGGTGTGGTGTGGTATGATGTGTGTGTGTGTGTGTGTGTGTCTGTGTGTGTGTGTGTGTGTCTGTGTGTGTGTGTGTCTGTGTGTGGACTGTAGAGGCCATGAGCTTCCACTAACCTAGGCTCTAGTAAGCACTGGGGTGGCCAACAGTATTTACTGGATCATCTTATAGAAATCTTCCTCCTGACAGCACAGTGCTTGCTCTCATCGGAGTTAGGAAGGAAGCCGCTCTGAGGGAGAAGCTGCAGCAGTGGCTGGGAGAGGATGCTCTTCTCCAGCTTGCCTGAGGGAGGCTCATGATAGATCCAGTTTGTAGTGGGCCAAGGGGAGTTCCAGAGCAAGCTGGCCAGCCAGCAGCCTGCATTCTGGGCTTCTAATCTATAAAATGAATTCCTTTCCTTTTTTTATACCTGCCATTTTCAGATGACACGATTGTACTTATATATTATTTTATTTTACTTCTATAAAAGGTTGGGGCACCTATCAAATGAGGTGGCACATACCTTTAATCCCAGCACTTGAAAAACAGAGGCAGGCAGATCTCTGTGAATTCAAAGCTAACCTGATCTACAAAGTTCCAAGCCAGCCAGGACTACAGGGTAAGACCCTGACTCAAACAAAACAAAATCGAAACCAAAATAAAGAAAAAACAGTGAAGTCACCTAAGAGCAAGGCACCCCAAAACTGGGGAGAGGCTTGGGGCTGAGGTATCTGCAACCCTGGAGCCCTAGGTCCCGCACTTTCTCCCGTGGATGCACAGAGTGTAGGTCCTGGAAATGCATGCGATGGACCGAAAGGCTCCCGCCCTGGCAGGAAGCTGCCTCCCCACCACAGACTAAGGCAGCGGCAGCTGTTTCCTGTCTTTGACGAAGAGGAAAAGTCCAGAGCCACTGACGAAGGCCCCATAGGCCCAGAGCTGAGTGTTGGAGAGGAGGTTGGGGTTGCCCTTAAGAGGGGGCCCCAAGAGCCCCGGAAGGCTGACAACATCCTACGTGGAGTGGAGTGTAGATTGTGGGCGGTAGCTACAGGACAGTTTTCAAGCCTAAGAGCCTTCCCTTTTGTGTCTCCCTTAAGGTCTCTTTTTCTCGTCAGCTCTATGGCTTCCTTTTACACAGAGCAGGGAGAGTGAGCGGGTCCAAGCAAACAAAGGACTGGTTGAATGGAGCCATACCTCTGCGCATTTTCTAAACGTTTCCATTGGAAAACAAAAAAGCCCCCCTCCCCCTTCCACAAATCAACGCTATGAAAAGTATGAAAAGGACGGGAGAAAAACAAGGCATAAACAAATAGAAGTCTTAGGTATTTCTTAAGACGAGCCTCTCAGCCGCTGCAAATAATTCCAATCAGACCAAATTAAACCGAATTTAAAGATGCCCATGTTTAATGCAATGCTCCCGGGTGGTCCCCAGAAAGCATTTAGAGGGAAAGAAAGGAAAGGGGAGACCTCTCAAAACCCGAGACCACGTGTTCATTCTCGGGGAGGGGGGCAGTTTAAATAGCCTGTGGGAGTGGTCTTGTCCTTCCCTGGGGAGGGGGTTACCTTCCGTGGGTTTTCTTAAACCTCCATGGAGGGGTCTTCTGCCAGGGGCTGGGGTGAAGCCCCCAGGAAAACAAGAAGAACCAGAAATGAGAGCAAGCATAGTATTAAGTAAGTAAAATCTCTGTTCTCAGCTAAAGAGGCAAAATTCATCTTTGTCTTTAAAGGCTACCTTAAATAAAACCAACACAGAGATGTTAACAATAAGACTTAAATAAAGGTTGGCAGAGGAGGAAATACTAATTTTTAAGTGGGTCTTTAAATTTTATTTATTTATTTATTTATGGTTTTCTAGACAGGGTTCCTCTGTGTGACAACCCCAGCAGTCTTGGAACTCACTCTGTAGTCTGTAGACCAGGCTGGCCTCAGACTCACAGAGATCTGCCTGCCTCTGCTTCCTGACTGCTGAAATTATAGGTGTCCACCACCACGCCCAGCACTGTTTTTATTTATTTATTTATTTAAACTTTCAATGTGTTTGGGAAAAAAAATGAACTTTGAAGCCAGGCAGGGTATGTATGCCTACAGTCTTAGTAATTGGGAGACTGAGGCAGATGGATTTGAGTTCAAGACCAGCCTGTACAACACAGTGAAATTCTGTTTTAAAAAAAAAATTAAAATCCTTTGATAACAAATTTACACAATGTATAAAAATTCCATTTTTATTAACAACTTAAGAAAAAAATATGGGAGAACACAGTCACAGTCTCGGGAAATTTAGAAGAAATGTCCAGGCAAATAATAAAAGATCACATAACTGGAAACAATATGAGCCATGTTCAGTGCTTATGGGGACAGTGGGGACTAGAAGACCAGGTGTCACAGGGATGGGGTCTGTGGGATGGAATCTCTGGCCTGGGATTTGATCAGGGCAGGCTCTATGTCCTGGCATACTTATTATTAATTTGGTATCTGCACATTTCCCGAGAATAGACGTGGTTTTGAAAACAGCATCATGGGTAAGGACAGTGAGCGAAGATTTAAAACCCCCAATTACCTTGGTTCATTGAGGCATTTGTAAGAATAATGATGGCAGAATGAAATTGTTCTTCATTCAGAATTAAGAACTTGCCAGTGATTTGGGTTAGATGAAGAGGAAGGGTTTAGAGTATAAGTTTTCTAGCAAATTCTTCCAGCTTGTAGTATTTTTTTTTTTGTCCTGGATTCTGCGCAGAACAGGTAATTCGGATAGTCAAATAATGAGTTTTGAAGCATAATATCTGTTCAGGTTATATTCTCACCAACTGTCCCTGGCTCCTGAGCCTGTAACCAATCAGCTGAACTCATTTTATCTCCTTGTAAATTTGGGAAGAAAGATGGGTGAATTCCCTGGGAGAGAACTAACCCAGGCTTCACTATGCCTTTTGCGACTTGAGACAACTACCCACAGACAAGTGTGTGGGAGGCACTGGACAGCGAAGGCTTAGTGGATGTAAGTGCAATGAACCTGAAGAAGTCAAGAATGAGATGGATGCATATTTACAACAAGAACCACAGGTACCTTTTCTCCAGGTGCGTCTACATTTGTGGGTGCGTCTGGCCACGGCATCCTGGTCCTCCCACCATCTCTGTGCTCCAAACCAGGGCTCTGAGCTTCCAAGTCTTTCCAGGATGACTTTGTTTCGTTTCCGCGCTTCCATAGGCTCCTGTTCTCTTGTCTTCCTGTTTAGACTCCAGAAAGGAATACACACATTCTTTCATCAACCCAGAGTTATGGTACAGAAGTTCACTCCGCATTCACAAAAGGATCAAGTATCACCAGGCTTGGTGGGCTCTGGGTGATGTCAGGGTTCTCGTTTGCTTCTCATTGAGAAACATGAACAAACCATCCCTCTCCATCCATGTGCCAGGATGCTTTCTGCCCAGTGGAGGAGTGGGCACCGAGTGGGTAATGATGTCATGCCCCTAAAGGTGAGTGGAGGCAGCCAGGGGGCAAGGTTGAACAGAGCCTCGAAGGAAGGTTGACAGCAAGAAGGGGAGGAAGACCCAGTGACCTTGTGGAGAAGCCCGGCAGACAGACACAGGAGGAGTCTAGCCTGTTTTGAAAGTGTTAAATGCTTCAAACCAGGTACAGGTGCATATTTTAGAGAGATCATTGTGGAGTAGAACTAGCCTTGGCTCCACACAGCTTCCAAGGTTGAATGAAGTTCCAGCTTGGGTGAGGCACACTTCAAACCTTTCTCCCTTGTTGTGATAGATATTTTTGACTAAATGCTTTCTCATGTGTAATACAAAACCTTTAAGCCAGTGCTCTCAATCTTCCTCATGCTATGACCCTTTAATACAGTTTCTCATGTTGTGGTGACCCCAGCCATAAAATTATTTCCTTGCTATTTCACAACTACAGTTTTGCTACTGTTGGGAATCACAGTGTAAATATCTGATATGTAGGATATTCGATACGTGACCTGTGTGAAAGGGTCTTTCAACTCCAAAGGGTCGAGACCCACAGATTGAGAAGCACTGCTTTAAATGGTTGACTTTGGTTGTTTGTCTGTTGAATACTTGTCGCCGATTTCGCTGGGTGCGTGTCCAAGGAGTTTCTCCTTTTCCTTCAGAGGATCCCTCTCTGATGGCTTAATTGAATGCTCTGTTTTCTACTGAGTTGTTGGTCTCTGAAGACACAGATACAATTTTTTTTAACATAAATGATCTTTGTAACCTTGTTAGTACCATCCAAAACCAAACTAAAATATTCCTCAATAGGTAATGAACAGAGTATGGCTTACAGGGGAGGGTGCCGCTCATCAGCCCAAGATGACCCAACAATGTCCTCAACAGTGTTAATCTAGCCAGGCATGGTGGCACACACTTTAATCCTAGCACTCAGGAAGCAGAGCCAGGGCTATATAGAAACCCTGTCTTCTAAAACCAAATAACAATAGCAAAATAAATCAATGTCATTCTGTAGAACATGCATACAGTAACAGAGCCAACCACATTCCTTGTAACCTCCGGAGCCTGGCTGTCATGATTGGCACTAGAAGAGTTGGGGGCAAGGGTGCCATGCACCATCTTCACTAAAGAGATGGGTTTCAAGCACATGCCTTTAATCCCAGCATTTGGGAGGCAGAGGCAGGTGAATCTCTGTGAGTTCAAGGCCAGCCTTATCTACAAAGTGAGTTCCAGACAACCAAGGTTACACAGAGAAATTCATCTAGAAAACAAACAAAAAAGAGATGGGTTTCAGTGTGTGATGTATCAAACCCATCAAACTGTATGCCTTTACTGTAAGATACTGTTTACCAAGTACCATATGTATCTCAGTGAAGACAGAAAGATTAAGTCAGGAGTAAATATCTAGTTATTGGCTGAATAGTTTCTCTCAAAGTGTTGACTGTTGCTTTTTCTTAAGAAACTGGCCAGCTGTATTTATACTTTATAAATCATGCCATTTTCAGTGCCCGTGAAGCAGACAGGATCCCATTGACAGCACCTCTGTCTCTTGCCTAAGTTGGCGGCTTGGGTGCTGGTCTGTAGCTTAGTCTGTTATGAATCTGGAAACAGCTTTAAAGGGTTAAAGAGTTCAGGAGCATCTGCAGGAAAGCCTGCATCGCTATGACCCTGTATGGTCACCAGCAAGACTCTACTCAAAGCAGGAAGGCCAGAGAGGTCTCCCAGGGTATATAGCTACCAAGGATGGAGCACCGCTCCTTTTGCAGAAGGGAGGATAAAGGACTCATGCGAGTGTTCATAGGTTGGTTTCCCGGAACATGGAGGCCTGCTGCCCTTCATCCTCTTGGGAAGCAGAATTCTAAGCTGGAAGAAACCACATGTTTCAGAGGACAGTGCCAGCGTAAAGGGGACAGCCATGCTCTCACCAGGGCATCAGGGCTGAGCCCTCTGCGCTCTGCCAGACAAGGATCTAACACTTTGCAAGGCTGTCGGGCGCTCTGCGACTTGGACACACTCTGCACCCTCTACAGTGATGGCGATTTTGGCCAAGTTGTGCAGCTTCACTGTACCTCAGTTTCCTCGCAGCCTCTGCTTTGCCTGGTCATTGTGAGGATGGAGGTTGGAAAGGTACTATGGGCAGTTCCTGGAGCACAGCAGGCATGTGGCTGGGCAGCTGTCACCTGGGGCCTATTCTTGTGCCTTGATATACCTTAGCGCCTTATGAATCTGGAAACAACTCTAAAGGGTTAAAGAGTTCAGGAGCATCTGCAGGAAAGCCTGCATCGCTGTGACCCTGTGAGTCAGGGAGCCTATAGGCACTTTGAATTTGGCTCTTATGACTGGACAGAACACCTCACCTCTATATCACCACGACTCTCTCCCTGCCCTTGAACCCAGGTCTAGTCTGGGGCTGGCTAAGACAAGGGCCCTTCTATTACCTTCTGTGTGTGAAGTTATTTCCGCCATCAGTCTGTCCCCTGGCTCTCATGGCAGAGGCTACCCTCTGCAGAAGCAGCCAGTTGTCTCTGTTGATGATGGAGAGCCTTTCTTCCTCCACCTGCGGACACAGGGACCCCTCAATAGCACACGGTTCCCCCATACATCCTTTTCAAAGCCACACTCCATAGGTCCCCTGAGGTGTCAGCAGCAGATAGCAGGGGGCACCTCAATCCTGGGCCCTGAGACAAGAGCAGGGAGACCACTCCATCCTTGGGTTGCAAAAAACACTGGGCTGGGCTGCCACAGCAAGGAGTTATAGTATCGTGTGCATTTAAGCTGTCTATTAAACTGACATGTGGCGGCTGTGCTAGCTGGGGGATTATGTCAGGAGAGAATTGTGCTGCTTAGAAGAAGTGTATACTTAATTCCAGAGGGAAGAAAAGAGTATGCCTACAGCCTCCTGCACCATGTGTGCATGAGTGTGTGCAAAAGTGCGTGTGTGTGAGAGAGCGTATGTGTGTGCGAGCATGTGTGTGTACGAGCATGTGTGTGTGTGAGCATATGTGTGTTCATGTGTCTCAGCCTGCCTGTGGAGGTCAGAGGACAACCTTGGCTGTCCACCTTCATGGTCTGTTTTGTTTGAGATGGACTCTCTTGTTTGCTGCTCAATATGCCATATTCCTTGGGGAATTCTCTTCTCTTTCCTCCCCATCTTGTCAGAAGAGTGGCAGGACCACTAAGGCCTGCTTTCAGCTTTTACATGGACTTGCTGGTGTTCAGCTGCCCTTCAACTGTGTTCGACGGATTGACAAAGTCAATTACTTTCCGTTTGCTGGGGGGGTGGGGCACACCACTTCAGGCATGATCATGTGTGGCTCCCTCTCACCCATGACCCACGCTTCAAGGAACACAAATCTGGAAGGGGCCAGCAAATTTAAAGCGATGATGCTAATTAATTATCTGGAGCCAAACTGTACAAATTGCTCTAAAGTTACCTGTCTGTGTCTGTGCCATTGCAGGGCAATGTCAGGAAAGGTTCTGGTACAGTCACTAGCCAGCTCCATCAGGCAGGTTCAGTTCAGCTGGCCTGTTAGGTGACACCTGGCTTTTGACAAGGCCAAAGAGCTTGTCTACTCCCAGTCCAGAGGCTCTGAACTGACGTCACCTTGTAAGCTGGGAATGTGGTTAGAAGAGGAGGTGGCACATACCTTTAGTTTCTTGAACTTCAGGCAGAGGTGGCCATAAGTCTGTGGTGGGTGAGTGTCCACTAGTGGTTGGGCATTCAGGACCTGCGGCACAGAGTGGGCAGTGAGACACCTGGGGCAGTTTGAGCAGGTTCTGTGTCACCCCCAAGATTATTATTATTACATATTTTTTACAGAGGTGATGGGAGTTTTTATTTTTATTTTATTTATTTTTTAACCTTTTTATTCATTTTACGTACCAATCACAGTTCCCCTTCCCTCTCCTCCCCCTCCTCCCCCTCCCCGCATATCTTCCCACCCTCCCATCCACTCCTTAGAGAGGGTAAGGCCTCCCTTGGGGACTCAACAAAGCCTGGCATACCAAGCCCCTCCCCCATACATTAAGGCTGAGCAAGGTATCTCTATGTAGGGAATGGGCTCCAAAAAGCCAGTTCATGCACCAAGGATAATTCCTGGTCCCACTACCAGGGGCCCCACAAAAGACCCAGTCACACAGCTGCCACCCCCATTCACCCATGTGTGTACATGCACATCCACAGGCTTTTCTGGCCTTTCATCCATCCACTATCATTTATCTGTCATCTGTTTATCATCGACACATACAGATGAAGTCAAGGATCAATTCATGCTAGGCTAGAGCTCCACCTTGGAGACAAAGCTCCAACCATCTCTTTGTTTTTATTAAACCACCAGGATTCAGTTCTGGGGCTCCATCCTACTGGCATTGTTTAATCCAAGTCACTCCCGCAGGCTTTCCCCCTGAACATCCTAGGAGATCAAGTGTCTACCCTCAAGATGTATGGGCCTCACGATGGGCCTCACATTTCAGCACATAAAGCTTTAGGAAACCTTAAACCATATCCAAACCACAACACACTACATTCCAGAAATAACTGAACAGTAGCCTGCGGAGAAGTTCCTTACTCTTTATACAATTGTATATCAGTCCTTATGGGTAAAGAGCCCTATTGACCCAGGTGCCCACTGACGGATATTTGAATTGGTTCCAATTTCGCTATTACAAAAAAAAAAAAAGCTGCAATGAAAATCTTTTGCAATTTGTCTTTGTGCATTTGCCAGTCTATCTGGGATTGGAGTTGCTAGGGTAAAGGATAAACGTGTGTGCAATTTTATGAGGTATTGCTCAGTTCCCCCACGGGGCTCTGCCTTTCACACACAGCCCGGCAGAGCGTGGTGGAGGCTCTTTCCCCAGAGCATTGCCAATGACGCCTGGGCTCCTCACCAACCTCAGAGTTGAGAAACAGCCTTAGAGGGCGAGCTTAATTTGCATGTATCTATTATTAGTGGTCGGCCATCTTTTCCAGAGGCTAAAAGCTGTCTGAACTCCTGAAGACTTTTTTCTTATTGCTTATCTACTTTCATTTCCTTAGTTTTAGAGTTTGTTTACATATGAACTCGATGTAAATTATAGTTATTTTTTCTACTTATACTTGATTTTGTTTTGTTTATTTTGGGGGCCATGCTATAAATCTTTTTATTAGTCAAGTTTATCAGTTTTCTTTCTTTTTTTCCCAAAGGGCTTTGATTTATGGTTAGTAAATTTTCTCTACTCTGATTTTATAGAATAAGTTTCCCATCTTCTAGTACTTGAGAAGTTAATATTAATTTTTTTTTTGTGGTTTTTCGAGACAGGGTTTCTCTGTGGTTTTGGAGCCTGTCCTGGAACTAGCTCTTGTAGACCAGGCTGGTTTCGAACTCACAGAGATCCACCTGCCTCTGCCTCCCGAGTGCTGGGATTAAAGGTGTGCGCCACCACTGCCCGGCTAATATTAATTATTTTTATACTTAGTCTTTTGGCTTGCTATTTAAAGGCAGGATCTAACTATGTAGCTTTGACTGTACTGAAGCTCACTATGTAGACCAGGCTTGCCTCTGCTTCCTGAGTGCTGGGATTAGAAGTGTGCACCATCATGCCTGGTTGTGTTTTTTGAGACACAGCCTAGGCTAACCTTGAAATCTTGATCTTCCCCTCAGCCTCCAGAGTGCTGCTGGAGTTACAGGCATGTGTCATCACATTCTCCACACACATACACGCACACACACACACACACACACACACACACACACACACACTTTGTTGTTTTGAGACAGGGTTTCTCTGTGTAACAGCCCTAGTTGTCCTGGAACTTACTCTGTAGACCAGGCTGGCCTCAAACTCACAGAGATCCACCTGCTTCTGCCTCCCTGTGCTGGGATTAAAGGTGTGCACCACCACGACCCGGCCTCTTGACTTATATTTAAATCTACAATCAGAGTATGTGGGCTAAAGACACTAAACCCTGAGGGTCCAGACTGAAGCTCCAATCCCAGGAATTGAGTGCAGAGACGGGATCCTTTGGAGGGAGGTGAATCTGAACAAAGCCTGGGAGTCAGAGCCCGTCACAAGATGAAGGGAGAGCACTGGTCCTCTCTGTCATGTGAACTGAGAGAAAGTGTGCTGTTTGCAATGCATGGAGCCACCCCTGTTAAGAACTGAACCCTGCCAGGCACTTTGTCCCTCAGAATGGTGAGGAATAACTCTCTGCTTGCTCAGGCTAAGGCAAGAACAGACCCAGGTTTCTCCTCTGTGTAGGGCATTCTCTCGCTCAGTACTGTTTTTCTCGTTGCTTGATACGCTCTGGCTGGGGCCTGAACACTCGTGTCTTCCAGCTTCGTATGTTGAAATTTTAACTCCTAAGATTAGGGCAGTCCTTGGGCTTCCCACAGGTCAGGGAACCCTGATTGCTCTTCGAGCAGATGAGGGAGGGGGACTTGATCGGGGGAGGGGGAGGGAAATGGGAAGCGGTTGCGGGGACGAGGCAGAAATCCTTAATAAATAAATAAATTTAAATAAAAAAATAAAAATAAAAAAAAATTCTTAATAAAAAGAAAAAAAAAAGATTAGGAGGTAGAGTGTTTGGGAGGTGAGGAGGCTCTGGGTCAGGGCCTCCCTAAACGGGCTAAGTGGCCTAAGAGATCCTAGTGAGAGGGACCCAGCGGGAAGGCACCATCTATAAAACCAGCCCTGGCCTGGCACTACAATTGCCAGCATTTTGACTTAGAACCTCCAGAGCTATAAACAATAAATCTCTGTTGTTACAGGCAGCCCAGATAGACTAAGAGACCGGTGTGGTCTTAACGTGCCCTCAGGCTCACGGGCTAGAAACTTAATCCTCAGTGCAGAGCAAGGATGCAGCCCTGTGGGCAGGTCTTGCTCGGAGCTGGAGCCGAGCTCCTGTGAAAGAGACTCGTATCAAAGGGTGCCCCTTCTTCACTCCCCATGGAAGGACACAAGTTCTCCGTCTTCTGCTTCTACCACCAGGGGACACTGCAGTAAGATCCACAGATATCCTTATGAATGTCTATTTATATATACATGTATATACAGTATATACATACACACACACCTGTATGTGAAGCACCTTGATTGTGTGTGCCAAGCTTCTGGGACAGTGAGAAGATTACTGCTGTCTGCAGGGACCACTTTTAGTATCGTTTGGTTTTCAGAAGCAATTGCGGCTGAGTACTTTGGGCCTTTGTTCTGTCTCCTGTCCGTGCTGAACGCTGTCACGTGCTTAGATCCAGAGCCTTGTGTTGGGTTTAGCATTTGCTATCATAGGTGAGCCTTCTCCCATCATACTTTCTTTTCGGTATTTCCTGAGTATGCATGCATTGCTACCAGGTAAGCTTGATGATGAATGTGTCTAGCCCCAGGGGGAACAATAAAACAGTGGGTCTTCCTGAGGATTCAAAACAATTCAAGGGAAACGTCTATATTTGTGCATCAAGGGTTTATTCTTAAAAATGTTGTACCCATTTCTGTTTGTCCAGGTCTTCTACTGTGATCTTCCAGAATGTTCTGTTGCTCTCAGCACAGGCATGAGAAGAGGTGTGCTTAGTCTTCTCATCCCCTTTCCTGTCATTCTAGAGCTGGAATCCTGGATCGCTCAAAAACTACAGGTATCTTTTTGGTGGTAGCCAGCGAGCCAGCTGGTGATGAGGCTCCTGCCTGGCCTCAAATGGAGGCCCGTCACCAGGGGGCTGATTATACAGTTAGAGGTCTAGAAATTTTGGTCCCAGTCTTGGACCTCTCTCAGGAGAATGAGAATGAGGGTTAAGCTAGTCCCCAGTGCTAAGCAATTTGATCACTTATGCCTGTATACAGAAGAGTCATTAGGAACCCAAGGGACAGTCTGGCAGAGGCTTCCAATAGTTGGATGCCATGTGGAGGTCCCTAGGGATGGGGATTCTGATGGGAGTGTAGCGCTACTAATTATCGTTTTACTCTGCCTTTTCCACGTGAAATGAGGTGGAGTGTTTTTCACAGGCTCACTTGCCATCTGTATACATCATCTGGGAATCTCTACTCAGTCTTAATTAGATTATTTTCTTTCTGTTGAGTTTAGGGGTTCTTTGTACATTTCGGGAAATGTTGTTTATCACATATATGCTTTCCAAACGTTTCTCCAGGCTGGGGCTTTTGTCTCTCGCAACATTGTTTCTCACCGCAAAGAGGCATTTTGAATTTTGATGAAACTCAGTTTATCTATTATTTCTTTCATTAACTGTGCCTTTCTTTCTTTTTTTTCTTTTTCTTTTTTTTAAATTTATTTATTTCTTAAAGATTTCTGTCTCTTCCCCGCCATCGCCTCCCATTCCCCTCCCCCTCCCCCAACTAAGTCCCCCCCCCCCCCTCAGCCTGAAAAGCAATCAGGGTTCCCTGTCCTGTGGGAAGTCCAAGGAACCCCCATCTCCATCCAGGTCTAGTAAGTTGAGCATCCAAACTGCCTAGGCTCCCACAAAGCCAGTGCATGCAGTAGGATCAGAAACCCATTGCCATTGTTCTTGAGTTCTCAGTAGTCCTCATTGTCCGCTATGTTCAGAGAGTCCGGTTTTATCCCAGGCTTTTCCAGACCCAGGCCAGCTGGTCTTGGTGAGTTCCCAGTAGAACATCGCCATTGTCTCAGTGTGTGGGTGCACCCCTCGCGGTCCTGAGTTCCTTGCTCGTGCTCTCTCTCCTTCTGCTCCTGATTTGGACCTTGAGATTTCAGTCCTGTGCTCCAATGTGGGTCTCTGTCTCTGTC